TGATGGTATAGCTCGCTGTCTTCTGGATCCAGGACGTTCCCTGGACCTGGGTCTCGGGTCCAGAGAATGCGCTTCACTCCTGGCTTTTGCTGGTAATTAAAGCCTTCCTCCTGCTTCTCAGAGGGCTCATTTTCTACATGACAGGATGGCATTCTAAGGAAGCCTGTTCAGATTTACTCACAGGTGAATCCTATCACTATCTTCCCCACCTTCTTCCCAGACCCACGGAGTCATAGGTGGTGTGGTGGGAATTGGAGACTGGTTAGAAGAGCTACATTAAATAACTCATTGCCCCTGCGCTCTTTCTGTATACGTACACATAAAAGTGCCATTGGTTTTGCTTCTCTGTAGAAACCAGCCTAACACTGGAGGAAATTGGAAGCTCATACAAATGATATAAGAATGAAGAAAATGTTCTAAAAATGATTGTGGTGATGATTATATGACTATTTTTATTTAAATCGCAGAATTTTATGAAATGTAATTAAATAGAACAGTTAAATTTGTTTTAATATCTTCAGATAAGTATCCATGTTTGGTTTGAGATGGCAGGGATTAAAATGACAGGAGAAAATATATTATTTAAGTATATAAAAATAAAATTTTAAATCCTGAGTTTTTCCCTGATTAAAAAAAATAGACTAGTTATTATATTTCTAATTTACTAGTTTTTATATATAATTTTTCTGTTAATAATTTATTTTATGGTAATGGTGTCCTTGTCTGAAAAATGTAGAGACGGTTTCCTTTAGATACTGCAGTAGAAATTTAAAGTTAAGTTGACTGGTGATTTAAAAAAAAATTTTTTTAGTATATATTTCCAGCAGTGCACTAATACTGACTCACAGGAAAATAGCTTTATATGTACATACATTATCTGTCATATGGCTCACATGTCTCAACAAATTTAAGGGTAAGGCTTGCTCCAATTGTACATATTTTCTGAGTCTACTTTAACAAGAAAAGCCATTTTAGGAATTCACTAAAGAATTTTTTGGCCTTGGGTCCCACATGTTAAAAGTTAAAGATAAATTTGAATTCTATTAAGAACTTTCTACCATCAATTAGTTTTGTGATTTGTATTATTTATACCTCATGTGTGCCATAGCCATCCTTGAGTAAGTTTTCCAGATAGCTGAAGGAGATGTTTTGACTTGCCATATATACTCGAGTATATGCCAGCCTGAATATTAGCCGAGGCACCTAATTTTACCACAAAAAAATGCAATAAAAAATATGCTAGAAAAACTTATATACGAGTATGTATGGTATACCCCATTTGAGCTGTAAGCTTAGTATCCCATGTTATAGATCAAAATATTAAGCCATGTATCTCACATTTTTCTTTAAGGGGTATTAGGTGACCTGATAGTACAGTGGGCTAAACGTTGGATTGATAACCCAAGGATTAGTAGTTCAAGTACACCCAACTGCTTTGTGGAAACAAAGTTCCATAGTCAGGTTCCATAAAGATTTACAGCCTTAGAAACTCTATAGAGCAGTGGATATAGTGTGCTATCCATAAAATTCTAAATTGTTGCTTTCATTTTTCATGACCAAATATTTCTTTGTGTAAAAAAGAATGATGTGGTGGGTCAGTGTAGAACTTGATTTAATGTCACAGGGGACAAGGAAAATCACTTTCAGTGATCAGTCCAAGTCAATTCCTAGTAGACAGGTATCAGACATGCTGCCACCATGTAACTTTCTTACTTCACCGCTGTGATCAGTAAGTAGTTCAGTACAATGGCCACACAGAACTCCTAGGCCTTACTCACAATTATGGGATTTATTAGTTAAGTTACAGGAACTGTGGTGGCACATTCGGCTGCTAATTACAAGATCAGCAGTTTGAAACCACCAGTCACTGTGAGGGAGGAAAATGAGGTTTTCTGCTTCTGTAAGAGTTATAGTCTTGGAACTCCTGCAGAGGCAGTTATACCCTGTTCTATGGGTCACTATGTCAGAATAGACGCAATGGCAGTGAGTTCAGTTTTTAACTTATTAGCTAAGTTAACAGGTTGCAATTGAGGTAAAAAGTGTTCAGGATAAAAGTATTGTCAATTATTCTCTGCAGTGCTTACAAGCAACATTCTCTGGCCCTCAGCCTCTTGTCTTGGTCTCTACCCTACCCGGGCAATGTTACAAAGTTCTTTAGGGCTGCTAGTAAATGCCCAGAGGGCTTGCCACTCCACCAAAAACTTCATTCTGAAGGTGTTCAGCTCTAGCTTCAGGGGTCAGCAAACCTTGACCCTCCATGTAAGTGCTTTGAGAAACCCCACTCTATAAGCCAACCTCCTGTCCAAAGGTATAGAGCTTAACTTTATCTGTGGACCAGGATGTCCTCTGCTGTTTCTGGTGATCTTGTTCTTGGTTCCTCTGTTACTCCTCTGGTGTTTCAATGCACTTCACTCCTGGCTCTTCTTTTGCATATAGTGAGATTTACCCTTCCTGCGTCTGAAGTAGCGCATTTTATACCCAGCATGATGGCATTCACAGTTAACCATTAACAATTATTTATACCTAAACCCTTCTCTTACTCTGACCCATCAGGAAAAGGTTGTTTAGTGGAATTTGCAAAGACCCAGGTTTGAGGAGCCACATTAAATGATTCACTGCATTGTACTGTTTCACCTATCAGATTGTCAAAAATCAAAATGTTTAGTACTTCAGTTGTTGGCAGTGATTCTCATAGTGATAAGGTTCATAATCTCAGGGGCATCCAGTGATTCTGAAGAGACCACAGAGCCACAATTATTATAATAATACTCAGATATTATCTACTTTTGTCACAATGTTGTCATCTGCAATGGTGGTCAATGATGGTGCAATGTCTTCAAGGTTTATTTCTCCACAAGTGAATCTAAAAGGTCAACTCAATGAGTTTTCTATTTTTTAAGAAAAAGGATTTTAAATTTCATCTCTAATAATAACTGGTCTTATGACCCATTTCTGTTGGGGTTTTTTACATGTAGAGTATTGATAGAGACAGGCACAGGTGATCTGGTGGTGGGAACGGAAAGCCCAGGATCAAGCAGTTGTTGATGGTTGCCATCAGTCCCCAACTCAGGGCAACATTATTGACAATGAAATTAAACTCCATCTCCATTTGTGGTGGCGGGTTTATCAGGCTTCATTGGATTCTTTTTTTATACTTTAATTTTTGGTTTATTTTTATCTTTGAGTCTATGATGTCTCTAGTTAGGCAGCATGCTGGTATGTACAGTTTTCATATTTATTCTGCCATTCTTTCTCCTGACTGGTCCATGTAATCTACTCACACTAAATATAATTATTGATATAAATGTATTACTATCACATGCTTTTTGTTATTGTTTTATTGATTCTTTGTTCTCAATAGTTTCAGTGCTGAATTTATTTTGTTAACAGATTTTGTTTTTCCATTGCTGTTGATTTGATGTTTGTTGATTCCATGTGGTTTTCCTTTGCTTATTATAGTTAGAAGGTTTATTAATTTTATTTGAGATTACTCTATATTTTCTTAAATGTTCTATTAAAGGTTGTTTGTTTGTTTTATTTAATATTCTTCACTGCCTCTGCATTTGGAAGTTCCGTAATTATACCATTCCCTTTTTGTTTTCTAATTATCTTTAAAATTGACTTCCCTCTTTTCCAATTTCAGTTTTTTAGTATATTTTATTTTTATAAATTCATTTGGGTTAATGGTGCTATCATGTGCCTTAATCTCAGATTGTTGTCTGCCTTTGTTGATTTTCTCTCAGAATAACTCCCATTAGTATTTCTTGCAATATTAATTTGGTTTATACAAATTACCTTAGTCTCTATTTATTTGGAAATGCCCTAATTTCACTGTTAGTTTTGAAGGATATTTTTACTGGATATGGACATACTGGTTGGTAATTTTTTTTCTTTCAAGATTATTTATATGTTATCCCATTGCCTGTTTACCTGCGTGTTTTCTCCTGAGATATCAGTGCTTAGTCTTACTGATTCTCACCTTTATTTTTTTCCTGTACTGTTCTCAGGATTCTTTCTTTGTCTTTGTCTCTGGGAATTTTGATTATTTTATGTCTTGGTGATGTTTGGGGGGTGGATCTGGTATGTTATTTGGAGTTCTTTGAGTTTTTTGAATGCATATGCACTCATCTTTCATGATCTTAGGAACGTTTTCATTCAACAAATCTAATGTCTGTGAGCTTTTAAATTTTTCCCCTTGATTTCTCTTCTGGAATTCTGACTACATGTAAAGTATTCCTCTTGATGGTATGCCATGAACTTTCTCATTTTCTCTTACTCATTTTTCTGATTTAACAGTTTCGTGTTTGAAATTTATCTTCAATTTTTCATGGAGCAGTAGTTAGCAGGGAGCACTGGAGCACCCAACTCCAAGTTCCTTAGTAACCTCACCTCTAGAAGGGTTTGTGAAATAGGGTGTACCCTTTTTCTAAAAAGCAGCCAATTGAAAATATGATAATATTCCCTTACTTTACTTTTTCATCCATACCAACTTATTGATGGTGTTCAGAAACCAGGGTACTTATAAAAAGCCCTTGAAGTTTATGTTGTATGAGACACTTAGTGAAAGTGTGTTTGAAGGTAAAAGTCTCACATGTAAGATAAACCTTAATAATAGTGGCATCCTTTTTCTGCTGTGGTAGCAAGAATAATTATATAAATAAACATATATATAGTTCTTATACTACATTATTTTAACATTAAAACTTGAAAGGGATTCCACCACTATACTCCCCCACTACCCACATCACCCATGGCCCAACATTTGCTAAATATTCAACAAGAGAAAAGTGTCAGATTTAAACAAGTCATAGTCCCTGTATTAGGAAGCAAGGACAGACTAATTTTTTTAAATTGAAGCACATTTATTGCAAAGTCCTAATTTAAATTTTTCAGTTTTGTCTAGATTGATATAGACTTTGACCAAATCAGAACTTTAATCTGCCAAAAATGGATATGTTATTTTGTGTTTGTTAATGAACTGTTGGAATCTTGTATTGCAGATGGAGATGGACACACAGATCACTTATTGCCAGGCTGTGAAGATAAAAACTGCCAGAAAAGCACCATCTACTTAGCAAAATCTGGAACAAAGCAGGTATATCAATGGGTTTGTGGGTGAGGTTTTTAGAAATTTTCCTTTAACAAATGCTACTAGCACATATTCAATTCCTTTCCTTATTAATATGTTAGCTTAGGTTCTCTAGAGAAGTAAAACCAGTGTGTGTGTGTGTGTGTGTGTGTGTGTGTGTGTGTGTGTGTGTGTGTAAATTTTTATATCAAGAAAGTGGTCTGTGTGTGTGAAGAATTTTCTATCAATAAAGTGGTGTGTGTATGTGTGTGTAAAGAATTTTTATCAAGAAAGTGGTTCTTACAGTTGTAGAATTGATTAAGTCCAGCCTGAGTCAGATGGTAAGCTGGAAGCATTCCTTGACTCTGGTGGTGGCTGGGGCTGGCAAACATGAAGCAGGAAGACCACAAGCTGTAAGGATGAAGTAGATGAATCCAAGGTCAGAAGTCATATAGACTAGTGGCTTTTCCTGATTTGTGTGACTGCAGGGGCTGTCAAATTAAGAAGCAAGAAGATGAATCAGTAAGTTAGACTTGTGGCTGCAGAGCCATATGAATCCAAGGTCAGCAGGCAATATGGCAGGCTGATCATAGCTCTCAGGGTAGGCAGGCAATATAGCAGGTCTACAAGCCAATAGTAAGATCTGAACCAGCAAAAATAAAAGAGAGAGAGCACACAGCATCAAATTATATAGGTGTAAGCTACACCCCTGATAAATTTCCTTCAAATTCCATACGACTGAAATCTGACTAAGGGAGTATCACTCCACCCTTATCCTCTCAAAACTGTTTGGCTGTGCACATTAGAGTCCATTAAGGAGTTAATAATAATATGTTTACTCACATCATGAAGAGGCTTCAACTGCAAAATTGAGAATCCTGGCTCAGACCAGGTGACACAAAACCTAACTATGAAGGTATTTGATACATTCAGCAGTGTTTAATTTTAATTTAGCTTTGGAAAGTTAAAATTCGTTTTATACTTTAATTAGCAAAATACATAACAAGATTGTCTTTTGGTCTTTAAGATAAGCATTATATTCTTCCTGCGGTAGAAAAATGAAAAATCAGCTTCCAATTTTTTAAAATCTGTATGTATAAAATCATATTGAGCTTTATGGTAGATCCTTAATAAATATAATGCTCATTGATTTTGTTAATTGATTTATTGTATGTAAAAAAATTTTTTTATTGGCAGTGTAACAGAAAAAAACAACACAAAATATACAAACAAAATAACTTTGTAAGAGTGCAGACCCAAAGTCCATCTGTAGGCAACTGGACATCCCCTTAAAAAGGATCTCGGGGAGGAGATGAGCCAGTCAGGGTACAATATAGCACCGATAAAACATTTAACTTTCCTCTAGTTCTTTAATGCTTCCCCACCCCCACTATCATGATCCCAATTCTATCTTACAAATCTGGGTAGACCAAAGGATGTAGACTGGTACAGATAAGAACTGGAAACACAGGGAATCCAGGACAGATAAATCCCTCAGGACCAATAATGAGAGTAGCAATACCAAGAGGGGAAACCAATCACAATTATCTACATATAACCCACTTTCTGGGGGATGAACAATAGAAAAGTGGGTGAAGGGAGACATCAGAAAGTGTAAGACATGACAAAATAATAATAATTTATAAATTATCAAGGGTTCATGAGGGAGGGTGGGGGGAAGAGGGGAAAAAATGAGCTGATATCAAGGGCTCAAGTGGAAAGAAAATATTTTGAGAATGATGATGGCAACAAATGTACAAATGTGCTTGACACAATGGATCGATGTATGGATTGTGATAAGAGTTGTACGAGCCCACAATAAAATGATTTTTATGTAAAATGTTGACTATATTGAATCTAATTATTAAGAGACAAAAATCTTTATTTCTTTAGGTAAAAGGTAAGTTTAGAGACAAAATATGATAATGTTCATGGTATAGTGTGAGAATAATCTTAAAAATTAATTCCTGATAAGAGTTTTTCTTTTATTTGTTTATTATTATCGTTGTGTCATCATTTTGATTGATATCTTCATTTACCTCTTTCTAATAAAAGTAAAATAGATGAGACTAATCTATCAGATTCATATATTGTATATTTGATGTTTTATAGATAAAAAATTATATATGTCAAATTCCTAAAATATGATTAGTCAAACTTCTCTTCAGTTTTCCTAAATACTGTTCACCCACACAGTACATTTACTATCTGTCCCTAACTAGGTCAGATGTCATACATTAGAAGGCATCATCCTTCAGGTTCCTAAGTAGGCAGACTCTTAGTTACAACCTAAAGAATCCACAAGAATCATTAACTCTACCCTGCTGGCTGAAATTTTGAGATTTTCCCACCCCCTTTCAGAATGCCAGCCACAAACTTAGGGTCTCCCTTAGTCTTCTACCTGCTGACTTCTAGTACTTCTTTGGGTGTGATAATTTGCTGGAATGACTTCTAGAACTCAAAAAAAGCACTATATTTATAATACAAATATATAATACCAACACGATACGAATCACAATCTGCATAAAGAAGACACAAGAACCAAGTAAGTTCACAATGCAGAGCTTCCTTGTCCCAAAAGGGTGTGCTGGCATCCCATTTATATCAGTATCTTTCACCAATCAGGCAGCTCCTGAAGCTTCCTTGTCCTGAGCCTTTTGGGGCTTCATTGAATAGTCTTGATTGAGACCTTATTGCTTATGAATAATTGAATCCCGTTCCTCTCCCTCCCCAAGGTCATCTGATAATTAACCATGAATTAAGCCAGGTTCTTCTGGCGTAGCCAGCTTCCTACTCATTAACACAAATCATATTTAGACCTAGATAATAAAAACCTCTTCAATCACTCAGGAAATTCCAAAAATTATCTCTTAAGAACCAAGAACATCGATCAAATTTCTCTCTGCAAAATGATTCATTACCTATCAGTATGTATTATATGTTACAAAAATATGCTGAGTTCCTTAGGCTATTGTAGTTTGTTAATAGTAAAGGAACTAGAAACTCCCATCTATTTCAGTCTGTTGGAATGTAAGCACCACCTTAATTTTCATGTTTCTAGACATCACCAGGGAGACATAACTTCTTGGCTGCCCCATGATATCAGAATGGATTTTTAATATCAATAAATATCTAAATTCAGAGTTTAGCAAAGATAGCTGATATATCGGAATAGAGAGAAACCCAAGTTTAAGTCATTGGCTTCCACATATAAATGTTGTGAAATTTAATTAAATCTATTGCTTATTAGTTTATTTGGGAGGAAAAAAGTAAATAAACCTGCCATCGAGTCAATTCTGACTCATAACTACCGTATAGGCAGCATAGAACTACCCCTATTGGTTTCCAAGACTAACTCTTTACAAGAATAGAAATCCTTATATTTCTTCTTCCGAGTGATGGGTGCTTTTGAACTGCCAACTCTCCTTAAGGTTAGCAGTGAAATGGGTACCCACTCCATTAGCATGGCTCCTGTTGGGAAGAAAGTACTGTTATAATAAGTTCCTGTGTGAAAATGACATTCTGAACTTAGTCATGACCTTTTAATATCTTGTGTAATTAGAAAGTGTAAAACACTGTAATAATTTGGGTGGGGGAGGTTTTGAAGACCATCGTGTTTAGTTTTAAGGCTGTTCTTATTTATTTCTGGTGTCTAGAATTAGTTCATTTTCTCATACTGACTTTTTACTTGTAGTGTGTATGTAACAATTTAGAATCCTGGAGTCACTACAGAAAATTCATGTGGGAATGATAGTTTATAACATTAAAAATATTTCTATTTTGAGAGCACTTGAAAAGAAACCAGTAATATACATTAGAAGTATTCATCCATTTCATTTTCTGTTATGGGATAATAAATGATTATAGTTGTTAGGTGTCATCAAGTTGGCCCTGACTCTTAACGACCCTTTGCACAACAGAAATAAACACGGCGTGGTCCTGCACCATCCCTAGAATTGTTCTTTGCCTGAGCCCACAGCCACTCTGTCAGTTCATCTCATCAAGGGCCTTCCTCTTGTTCACTACCCCTGCACTTTATCAAGCGTGATGTCCTTCTCCAGACACTGGTCTCTCCTGATATGGCCAAAGGATGTAGGATGAAGTCTTGCCACCCTTGCCTCTAAGAAGCACTCTGGCTTTTCTTCTTCCAAGATAGATTGGTTTGCCTTTTTAGCAGTCCATGGTACTTCCAACATTCTTTTCCAGTACCACAATCCAAATGCATCAGTTCCTCTTCAGTCTTCCTTATTCGGTGTCCAATTTTCACATACATATGAGGCAATAGAAAATACCATGTTGGCTTGTGTAGCCCTTGTAAGTAAGGAACATCATATTTTATAATAAAATTGTAGAAGATCTTCATGCTGTCAGCTTTCTAAAAGCACTTAAATATTACACGTTTAAGTTTATTATAAAGTTGTGAATCATTTAAAATAATATTATATTAAATAACAGCTACTTGTTGATTCATGGGTATAAGCACATCAGTAATTTATTTTTTCAGTTATAGTCTACTGTAAGAATATTTTCACAGAGTCATCTCTGAGAACATAAATGTCACAGCTCGTTGATAATTGTTATAGATATGACATTAAGTGTAAGATCTCTTTACCATCTAGGCCTTGATACATTTGCCTTAACCAGAACACTTTATCTCACATGATTTATCCTAATTAATTGTCACCCTCTTCAGAAATCTGTGATAACTGACATTTTTTTGAAATTGCCTATCTTCCTCTAAAATAAAATCAATTTTCTTCAAAGTCAAGTAGAACATTAAAATATAAATAGCATATAAAATAATGTATTTTTGATCTATAAAAGACTGAAAAACTGATTAAAGGAATAGAACAATTTTTAAAACAATCCAGTACCTGTCTTTATCATTAAGTTACTTTTTCTTGGCAAATTATGCTTTCTTTAGAGAGTGTATAAAATATCGAGGGTGTCCTGTGTACTGAAACCTCTTCCGAAAACTGTTTTTAGTATAGCTTGGCTTGAAACCATAAGAACAACTCAACCTGCAGATAAAAACATCTGTCGGCATATTTGCCTCTCGTCATTTCAAGTCAGCTGTGCTTGCTTCTTTCCGGACATTTCCAGGTTATGTGCCGCCATTCATACCCTTAGCTGATTCCTACTCTTCATCTTCTCAGCTTTTCATTATATTATTAATAAGTGAAGATTTAGCCATCAAACTAGATACTTTCTAAAAGCTCATTAAAAATCAGCTTAATCTCTCTTCAATATGGCAATAAAGAAACTTGACGTGTGCGTCAGCGATTTGGGTGGCAGGGTTCCTTCTCCTGACCAAGATGTGCCTGTCAGTTGCAGGCAGAGCTTGTCAGGCCTGCTGGTGTTTGAGAAACCTCAGAGCTGCTTGCCGAGGATGAGGGCTAAAATTATCTTCATATCTAAAAGGTACAGCAGATAAAGGGAGACTGCCATCTTCTGATTTTCATTCTAAATTGGTCCTCCTAAAAGGACATTAGAATTAGATGATATTAAAGTTTTCTTTAGTTTTCTTTTTTTTTCTTTCCAGTAACTATTTGAGGATATATTTCTATGTAACACAAACATTAAACTGGTCAATTCACTTACAGTTGAGTATCAGGTTGACCATAAGATTTTGTGATCCTGTGAAAAACCTTCTGAAGTTTCATGTGTAAGTTTAAGTAAAAATGACTAATACAAATTAAAAGGAGACTCTTTTTTATCTAAAATATCAGCCAGCTATTCACCAAATTTGCTTATAATAGATAATCTTTAGTATCATAGCAATAAAGAAATAAAATGGTACTTATTTTGGAGACCTATCAATGTCAAAATTAAAGTAACATTGAAAACAACCTTTTTTCAAGTGATACTCGTCTTCTGAAAATAACTCCTAAGGTTAATCTTTTTCTTTTTAAACCATAGTGGGTTCCAGTGCTACAGAACTTCAGCAATAAAGGGACCCTCTGGGGCTTTGTGCCATTTGTTCAGGAACAGCGACCTACCGAAATACCAATTCCAATTACCCTTCGTATTGGAGACTACAACATGGATGGTTATCCAGATGCGCTTGCCATACTGAAGAATACATCGGGAAGGTATGAAAATTAAATCAACTGAGAAATATTTGTTCTTTCTTCACTGTGGGTTCCCTGGGTGGTGCAGATAGTTAAACACTTCACTGCTAGTCTAAAAGTTGGCAGCTTGGACCTACATAGAGGTGCTTGTAATTGGAATAACATCTAAATATGTTTAATTCCTAAAATAAGGGCAGTATAAGCTCAGTCTCTGTTTCTTTACGTGGCCCCTGAACTTCCTCCCATTGCGTAGAATACCTCTTCTTTTTCACATATTTGTTTTCTCTTAATAGAAATGAAGAATTAATCTAAAAGAAAATAGCTTATTTTTCATTCATCAGAATTTACTCTTTAAATGGTCGATTTTTTAAATAGATGACATCAGATTTGTCCACTTACATTTGGAAACAAAACGTTGGTGGCTAAGACCTTCAGTTTCTGGGATCAGACCATACCTAGACTTTGAATTCACTTGCCAAATGTGTGGCCTTGGGCTGACTTACTTGTGAAATGAATGTAATAACTATACCTTTGTCATGGAGTTATAGTGACAATTATAGCTGATAAAAGCAAATGAAGCACTTAATAAGACACTTAAGTACATACTGGCGTTGTAGTGGCATTAAAATCCCCAACCAACTACTTACCAAATTAATATTATTTTTATATAGCCATACCTCAGAAATATTGTGGCTTGGTTTCAGACTACTGCCAAGAAGCAAGTCACATGAAAATTTGGTTTCCCAACATATATGAAAGTTATATGTACATTATATTATAGTCTATTAGGGAGCCCTGGTGGTATAATGGTTACACATTGGGCTTTTATCCACAGGTTTGTTTGAAATAACCTTATGCTCGAAGGGAGGAAGATGGGGCTTTCTACTCATGTAAACAGTTAAAGACTCAGAAACTCAAAGAGGCAGTTCTATGCTGTCCTATAGCATCTTTATAAATTGGCATCAACTCAATGGCAGTCAATTTGATTTCTTGTTTTTTTTATAGACTATTAAGAGTACAATAGCACTTTGAACAAGTTTCACATATTGTGAAACAGATTCACATGTGACACAGATTCACAAAATGAGCACATGCTGTTGGAAAATGATACTGATAGATTTGTTCAATACAGGGTTGCCACACATCAATTTGTAAAAAGTACAGTGTCTGTAAAAGACAATGAAACAAAGTACAACCAAACAAGGTATGCCTGGGTGCATAAAATATGACTGTGTTTCTTGCATCATAAATGATTTTGAATGCTACAGCTACCTTTTTTTAATTTAAATTAGAGGTAACAGTTTATAAAGCAGTATACTTAAACTCAGAATTAGCTTAACACTTAAGGAAATTCCCTAAAGTGACTCTTCCTAAATTCTAATAGCTTATTTGCTTTTTTTAATGATAGAAGTCTATTGTAGTAAATATAGTTGCATAGAAACAAACCTGGAAAGGTTATATTGAAAAAAATTTTTATTATTGTTTTTGCAAGGGTAGTAGCTTCATTTTCAACATTGTTGTATTTTTATTTTTTATTGAATATATATATTGGGGGCTCTTACATCTCTTATCATAATCCATACATTCATGCAATTTGTCAAGCACATTTGTACATATGCTGCCATCATAATTTTCAAAGCATTTTCTTTCTACTTGACCCCCTGATATCAGCTCCTCATTTTCCCCCTCCCTCACCCACCCGCCGTAAGTTATAGATTATTATTTTCATATCTTAAATCATCCTCTGTTGCCCTTCACCGACTTTTCTGTTGTTCGTCCCCCTGGGGGAGATTATATGTCAATCCTTGTGATCAACTCCCTCTTAGTCCCCCCACCTTCCCCTTATCCTCCTAGTATCTCTATTCTCATTGTTGACCCTGAGGGGTTTATCTATCATGGATTCCCTGTGTTGCAGGCTCTTACCTGTAGCAGTGTGCGTATTCTGGTCTAATCTGATTTATAAGGTGGAATTGAGGTCATGATAGTGGGGGGAAGAAAGCATTGGAGAACTAGAAGAAAGTTGTGTGTTTACCGGTGCTATACTGCACCCCGACTGGCTCATCTCTTCCCTATGACCCCTCTGTGAAGGAATGTCCAGTTGTCTACAGATGGGCATTGGGTCTCCACTCCATGTCCCCCCTGCCCCCCAACTCACCTTGGGTACAGTTTTATTCTGGGTCTTAGATACCTGATACCTGATCCCATCAACACCTCATGATCACACAGGCTGGTGTGCTTCTTCCATGTGGGCTTTGTTGCTTCTCAGCTAGATGGCCACTTGTTTGTCTTCAAGCCTTTAAGACCCCAGACACTTTGTTTTTTGGTAGCCGGGCACCATCAGCTTTCTTCACCACATTTGTCTTCAGTGATCGTGTCATGAAGGTGAGCATCACACAATGCTGGATTATTAGAACAAACTGTTCTTGTGTTAAGGGAGTACTTGAGTCAAGGCCCAATGTCCATCTGCAACTTTAACATATAGATATGAGTTTTCTAATTGAAGTTCTATAGAAAGATTTCTTCAACCATGCTTATATTAGTATTCTGGACCTTAATATGTCTTTTTTTTTAAAGAAAGAAAATTGATTGTGATTGTCATTTGATAATACAGGTTTGTTTAGCAATTATACTATGGCCTTAGTGATATATCATTATGTTAAGTACATGCAGTGCATATTTTTTCTGTATTGTAAAAATTTTACTGAGTAAAACCATGGCAAAATTGGACCTGAGTAGGAAACAGTCACAAAGGTGGTGGCTAACCACACAATTTTGACTGTGTGTTGGCTGCCATCTTTGAGTGGGATAAGTACATGTTTCCTACATGGTTCAAATTCCACAGTGCAATAAATAGTTACCATAGAACATGTTGTAGGAGCCCCAGTGGTGAGTTGGTTATGAGTTGTACTGAGATCCAAATGATCGGCAGTTGAAAACAACCGTCAGTTCCTCTGGAGAAAGACTGGTCTCTACTCCCCTAAAGTTAAGTCTTATAAACCCACAGAGGGTTTTGAATGAGTCAGCAAGGACTCAATGGCAGTGAGGTGTTTTTGTTTTTGTTTTCTTTTATACAACATGTACACTGCCCTTGTTTCTTTCAACCACGACTGAACCTTTTTGAACTAGTTCAAAGCCCTATTCCAAGTCTGTGTTTTAGGTACAGTTCCTATTTAACATTAGTTAAACATTTCTCTCAGTTCATGTGTAAAGTACCTACCTATGCATAAAACCATTGGAGAAACTCTTCCAAATACATTAATATATTTTAAACATATTATTGTAGTCATTAGAATGTTTTGGTGCGTATTGAAATGTACCATTTGTTTGTTATTAAAACCGTATGCATCTCAAATTATTAACAAAATATTTGAGATTATTGCAGAGATTATTTCATAACTATGGCATGTATATAAATTGGAGGTTTGTAGTAACCTAGAAATTTCCTACTTAAGGAAACCTCAACTTCCATTATATTTTAATAGGAAATTAAAATTACCATTTTAAGCAGATTTTTGTGCTGAGCTAAAAAATCTGAGTCTCAGCTAGGATAACACTCAAAATTTGTTAAATCAATAAATCATCAAATACAATATATTGGCTGGCATTGTATTCAACAACTTAAACTTATCAAACTTGCCAGTAGTTTACCCTAGCCCCTATACTAAGGTGACCATATTTTAACATTGGTAAAGTGGGACACCATTGACAGGGGGGGGGGGGGGGGGGGTTCTTGATTAAAAATTTGCTCTATATGGAACAACAAGTATTTTCATAGAATGCAAAAATAGTATTGTAATATATATTTTTTAATTTCAACATAAAGTACAATTTATAAATATGATACATTAAAAAATTATGTGTAGTATTATTTTATTCTTTGCCATATTTATCATTTGAATTTTCTGATGTCCACACTTTATTTACCATGGAAAAACTGCATTCAGTCGCAGCATTAGTTCCTGGTAAGGATAGTGCGTATTCCACAAAATGTAGTGCATAGAACATGGTTTGGTTCAAAATGATGAAATATTTCTAACCATTTGTTCTCTATTGTGATTTTTGCTGATGCCCAAGATTTAACCTCTTCCTTATCAATATATATTTTTAATAATGATACCTCATTAAAAAGATCATTTTCAGAAATATTACTATATGGGAGATTTTGAGTAATATGATCGAATGATTTTTGCACATCATTCCAGTACTGTCTGCTAAATTCAATAAAATTTATGTATTTATGAAATAAATCTGTGCGGAGAGGAGAGTGGGAAGGGAGGGTGTAGGTTTGAACCTTCATCCCATATCCCCATATATATGATGGCAGTGAATAATAAAACCTACGCGTGACAAAGACAAAGAAAAGAAATACTATCACAAGGGACCACAGCTTACCTACATCTCCTTTAATAGCAAGTAGTTACAGTGAAGACTTATTGCTAAGGTATATAGATTAATGCTTTTTCCTTTCTAAGACTCAGACACCTCCTGGAATTTATTTGTTTTTATCTTTGTTCTTTTGTACTGTCTTCAAAGTGACTTTTATTATCTGCCCAAATCATCACTTCCAACCACAAATGTTCCTTTTGCTTATCTACCACTTACATTTTTCCCCCTCCCTTCCCACTCTCCTCTCCACACAGGCCCTCTTCCTTTGTGAAGAGAGGTGATGGATGGATGGATAAATGACACAGAGAGAGACAGAGACAGAGAGACAGACAGAGAGAAGCCTCACACAGGAGGGCCTCCTCTAGGCTTTCAGAGGAAAGGCGTGATAGTATTTCTTAAGCAGAATAATTATTTTAATTTTATCTTGTTATTATTGAGACTGTATATAGCAAAACTTGCAACAGTTCAACATTTTCCAACTGTACAATTCAGAGAAATCAATTGAAATTCTTAAGTTGTGTAACTATTCTCTACCTCTTGTTCCCTATTAATAGACACTGTTGGGCCCTGTGGGTCCATATCCGATCTCTCGAAATGCTGTTGTTGCTTTGAATCCATATGTTGTTGTTGGGTGC